AGTAGTAGCAGTAATAGTCGCACTAGTAGAAGTAATAATGATAGTAGTAGTAGTAGCCGTAGTCGTAGTAGTAGTAGTAGTTGTTGTTGTAGTAGTAGTAGTGGTAGTAGTAGACGCAGTAGTTGTAGTAGTCGTCGTCGTCGTAGCAATAAAAGTAGTAGTAACAGTAGTAGTGGTAGCAGTAGTAGTAGTACTACTACTACTACTACTACTAGTTCTCGTCGTGGTAGTAGTAATAATGATAGAAGTAGTAGTGATAGGAATAAGGTTAGCAGCAACAATAACATGAGCCAGCATTGACTCCAAATGGATTAGAGGACAGGAGGAGGACGAGAGGAGGATGGGAGGAGGACGAAAGGAGGACGGGAGCAGGACGGGAGGAGGAAGGGAGTAGCAAATTCAAGCAAGCACAAGCAAGCAAGCGGAAGTAAGCAAGCGCAAGCGAGCAATAACAAGCAAGCAAAAGCCAGCGATCAAGTGCAAGCAAGCAAGGGCAAGCAGGAGCAAGCATGCAAGAGCAAGCAAGCAAGCAAGAGCAAGCAAGCGATTGCCAGCGATCAAGTCCAAACAAGCAAGAGCAAGCATAGGACTCGCCATTGGAAACAGCTAGGGAGCGCCATTGGAAAAAAGGGAGGTGCCGTTGGTAAAAAAGGGGGGAGGGGGGGGGCATTGAAAATAAGGGGCGGTGCCATTGGAAAAAGGGGTGGGCTAAAGACCAATTATTTGTGATAAGCTATAGGGCAAGCCAATATGGAGAATAGAAACGCTAATACGAGTACTGGCACCAGTACCAGTACCAGTACGAGCCCTACTGCTAGCACTAGCACTGGTACTTGTACGTAGTAGTCGTACTAATCGTCGTCGTCGTAGTAGTAATAGCAGTAGTAGTAGCAGCAGTAGCAGCAGTAGTAGTAGTAGTAGTAGTCGTCGTAGTAGTAGTGGTAGTAGTAGTAGTAGTGGTAGTAGTGGTAGTAGCAGTAGCAGTAGTAGTAGTAGTAGTAGTAGTAGTAGTAGTAGTAGTAGTAGTAGTAGTAGTAGTAGTAAGTAGTAGTAGTAGTAGTAGTACTGTAGTAGTAGTAGTAGTAGTAGTAGTAGTAGAAGTAGTAGTAGTAGTAGTAGTAGTAGTAGTAGTAGTAGTAGTAGTAGTAGTAGTACTTAAAGTAGTAGTAGTAGTAATAGTAGTAGTAGTAGTAGTAGTAGTAGTAATAGTAGTAGTAGTAGTAGTAGTAGTAGTAGTAGTAGTAGTAAGTAGTAGTAGTAGTAGTAGCAGCAGCAGCAGCAGTAGTAGTAATAGCAGTAGTAGTAGCACCAGTAGTAGTAATCGGAGTAGTAGTAGTAGTAGAAGTAGTAGTAGTAGTAGTAGTAGCCTCGGTGAACCTCCCTCTGAGACCACGACGCGTGTGACGGGTGTGCCAACATTGGCACGGGTACGCCATGCGGACGCTGCCACAGGAGCCGTCGGTGCAGCCCCATCTGAGGCCACGAAACGCGTGAGGTGTGCGCCGAAATGCAGGGTGGAACCACGTGCGGGCGCTGCCACCAGGGCCTTTGGTGGCCGCGAAACGTGGAAGGGGTGCGCCGAAATGGAGGGGGAACTGCATGCGGAACCTGCCACTGGGGCCCTAAGTGGAACACTCCATGGGGCCACGAAACGTGTGAGGGGTGCGCCGACATGGAGGGGGAGCTGCATGCGGACTTGCCACGGGGTCCTTGAATGGAGCACCCTATGGGGTAACGAAACGTGTGAGGGGTGCGCCGAAATGGAGGTGGACCTGCAAGTGGACCCTGCCACTGGAGCCTACGGCGGAGCACCGTATGGGGCCACGAAACGTGTGAGGGGTGCGCCGAAATAGGGATAGAACTGCATGCTGACCCTGCCACTGGGGCCTTCGGCGGAGCACCCTATGGGGCCACGAAACGTGTGAGGGGTGCGCCGAAATGGAGGTGGAACTGCATGCGGACCTTGCCACTGGGGCCTTCGGCGGAGCACCCTATGGGGCCACGAAACGTGTGAGGGGTGCGCCGAAATGGGGATGGAACTGCATGCGGGCCCTGCCACTGGGGTCATCGGCGGAACACAACATGGGGCCACGAAACGTGTGAAGGTGCGCCGACATGGGAGTGGAACTGCATGCGGACCCTGCCACTGGGGCCTTCGGCGGAGCACCCTATGGGGCCACGAAACGTGTGAGGGGTGCGCCGAGATGGGGGTGGAACTGCATGCGGATCCTGTCACGAGGGCCTTCGACGGAGCACCCTATGGGGCCACGAAGTGTGTGAGGGGTGCGCCGAAATGGGGGTGGAACTGCATGCGGACCCTGCCACTGGGGCCTTGGGTGGAGCACCCTATGGGGCCACGAAACGTGTGAGAAGTGCGCCGAAATGGAGGCGGAACTGCATGCGGACCCTGCCACTGGGGCCTTCGACGGAGCACCCTATGGAGCCACGAAACGCGTGACGGGTGTGCCGAAATGGAAGTGGAACTGCATGCGGGCCCTGCCTCTGGGGCCTTGGGCGGAGCACCCTATAGGGCCACGAAACGTGTAAGGGGTGCGCCGAAATGGGGGGGGAACTGCATGCGGACCCTGCCACTGGGGCCTTCGGCGGAGCACCCTATCGGGCCACGAAACGTGTGAGGGGTGCGCCGAAATGGGGGTGGAACTGCATGCGGACCCTGCCACTGGTGCCTTGGGCGGAGCACCCTATGGGGCCACGAAATGTGGAAGGGGTGCGCCGACATGGGGGTGGAACTGCATGCGGACCCTGCCACTGGGGCCTTGGGTGGAGCACCCTATGGGGCCACGAAACGTGTGAGAAGTGCGCCGAAATGGAGGCGGAACTGCATGCGGGCCCTGCCACTGGGGCCTTTGCTGGAGCTCCCTATGGAGCCACGAAACGCTGTAATGGGTGGGTGAAACGCAAGGAGGAGGGAGGAGAGGGAGGAGGAGGGAGGAGAGGGAGGGGGGAGGGGGCAGCGGGAGGTGGGAACGCGGGGCGCTGTCTCTTCAAAACGAGGACCCAACACCACAGGATGGTTGGGAAATAGGACGGGGTAATTAAAAGAGAAACTGCCATAGAGCAGCCTCGTGGCCACCCGAGGGCGGAATCACTCTAGAGAAGCCCTGGATGGGTAGCGCGCAGCCGAGGAGGAGACTGCGGCCACCTCACCATGGGGCCTCCGTCAGTGCGCAAGGGGAGTACACCCCCACAGGTCAGGGATATCAGCGTCGCGCTGATAGGACGTGAAAAGGGCACGCTTCGGTGCCAGCGGGAATCAAACTATACAAGCCGGATGTGGGCGAGCCCCCACGGACGAGGACGACGACGAGCAGGACCCCCCGCAAAACGAGGCACCCCCCTTTCCAGCAGCAACCCTACGCGAGCCGCCTCGGCAGGCAGCAACGGCGGGTTCTGCGCACCTTGTGCCCGGGCTCCCCCCCCCGATAGGAGCCAGCAGTCAGGTGTCGACGGAAATCGCACACCAATGCCATCAGCCGAAGCAGGGCGCAGGGAGGACAAGAAGCGTCAAGGTACCCTTAAGTCGGGCCTGTCCCTCTACAGGGAGACTATTCAAAAATAGTTAGAAAATCGTCTGGGGACGATGTTTTGATTATTGTTTTACCATTTTGGGGGTAGTTTTGGGAGGTATTTTCATTTTTCGCCCAAACTCAGCCTGTGGGGGGACATGCCCGACCTAAAGGAACCCCGTGCGCAAGGAGCTCGGCGGGCCACACTGCCCCTCCCCCAGGGGACCCAGGACCCCAAGCCCAGAGTCTCAACTGCGCAGGCCCTCCGCCCGGCCGTCTGCGCACGCCCCTGCCCCGCAGCGGAGGCAAGGGCCGTCTCCGGATGCCGCTGAACGGCTCTGCAGACGTCGTCGCGCTGCGCACGGCCCCGGCCCTCCGGAGGGGCGTAGGGTTGTGGATGCCATGACAATGGACACCCTAACAGTCCTATCATTGAATGATAGATGTGTTACAATGTGTAAAAAACATGTTCTGGAAATGTGTCAAACATGTTTTTACACGTTTAAAACATGCTTGAAACATTTTTTGACATCTGGAAACTAATTGGCAGCACGCTTCCTCCCCATTAATCGACTTCCACAAGCGTAGGGGTGTGAGGCACTGGCGTGCCTGCCCGCGGCCGCTCAGCTTGCGCCGAGCAGCCGCACGTCCCAGCTGCCCAGGACGTCCCTACTGTGTCTGTGTGCGCGCCTGCGTACACCACAAACCATGTGTACACCTCCACAGAATCCCGACGGCGAACATCAACTCCGGAAAATCACGGTGAGCCCGAGCCTATCAGTTGCACTATGCAAATTACATTCTGGCCCAGGACATGCCCACCGTATGTTAGGTCCACAACGCCTGCGTACATCACATCGACTGTGAGAACCACGGCGCTTCCGTACAGCAAAACGACTGTGCGCACAACAATGCCTGCATACATCACAGCGCTGGCACCTACGAGTGCCGCACTATGAGCGCCATTCCAAGAAGACCTCTCAGAAATAGAGCAGCAGTGCATCCCTGAAAGCACCACAAGAGCGCGAGCGCAGCGTGACCTTGTGAATGCCATAGCCCTTGTGAGCACCACAACATGATTTTGTGAACACCACAGTAGCCTGCGAGCGAGCGCTTCAGGACGCCCGTAGTCGCCCTGGGACGACGACTGTGACGTGATTTTGGAATGGGGGGGGCGGGCCCGATCATGCCTGTTATCGTCCAGAGGGGGAAAAACTGGTTCCTGTGAGGAGAGATCGAGCAGGAGGCTTTGTCGTCGTGGTTGGGGGTTTCGAGAACCGATATTTGGAAGCAAGCCGGTGTTTGAGCAAAAAAACTTGGAAATAACGTAGCCGCGGTCGAGGCGCGAGCGCCAGGAACCGCTTCCATAGAGTAGCAGCAAATACGTTGTGGAAACAAATATTCGACAACGACGACGCCGACGACGACGCCGACGGCGGCGGTGGCGATGGGCTGCGTGGCGGCGGCGGGCGCCTCGTGGTCGTCGGCGCCCTTGAGCTGATCCTCCACCTTGCGCGCCGCACCGCCTTTCACTCCTGGCCCCCTGCCATCCCTCGAGCGGTCGCCGGCCCGAATTCGCGCCGACTCCTTCGAACGGCATCGGATCCCGACCCACCCACCTACCGACACACACACACACACCGAGACAGCAAGGGCGATGACGACGACGACAGGGACGCACAGGAGCACCACAAAAACGGCTGCGTCCTCCTCCTCCTCCTCCTCATCATCCTCCTCCTGCTGCTCCCCCTCCCTTTCCTGCTACACTCCTCCTCCCTTGCGTCCGTTGCGTTGCGTTGCGTTGCGTTGCGCCTGGGGGGGTGGAGGGTCCGTTGCGTTGCGTTGCGTTGCGCCGGGGAGGGCGCCAGCGAATGCTTCGTCAACAGCAACAACAACACCACCAACAACCACAACAACAACAATAATAATTTCAAGACTTTTCGCCCTTATATGCTAGAGTGTCCAATAACGCGTATTTCCCAAACCGTCGATACCCGCCCTTTTCGTCTTCGATCGACCCCGTTTTGGGGGGGGTTACCTTTCTTCCCTGCAGGCCGGGCCCCGGCAAGCGGCGGGGCGTCCGCGGACCGTCGGCCTGGCCAGCGGCAGCGCTGATCGGCGGGGCGGCCGCGGACCGTCGACCCGACCCCAAGAGGGACGGACAGGGGACCGACCACGACGACGGCGACGACGACGACGACGACGTCGAAGACGACGGCGACGACGACGACGGCGACGACGAGCGAAAGCGAGAGCGAGAGAGAACGACAGCAGGGCCACGAAGGGCACGAAGTAGGCCACGAAGGGCGACAGCGGGGACACGAAGGGAATGCGTGAGCGCGAACGAGCGGGGGCCACGAAGTGCAGATAATGCGGGGCCACAGAAGGCAACTATGGGGCCACTGAGGGTAGCAACTGGGCCACGTAGGACAATGAGGGGGACACAAATGGCGACAGCGGGGCCACGAAGGGCATGCACATGGGGCCACAACGGGCGCGACTCCTGGGTGCCTGGGTGTCGGGAGCGCGGCGCTTGGGCAAATTGCAAGAAATTCCAACGCAAGGCCATTCTTCAGTAAGTTGCAAGCAAGTCTCCAGCGAGAGCGCGACTCCAGAACGCCGGCAGAGCGATTCCTGAATAAATTGTAAGAAAGTCCCAAGCGAGAGCGCGATTCCTGAATAAAATGCAAGGAAATCTCGGGCGGGAGCGGGAGTCCTGGCTAAATTGCTAGGAAGTCTCAAGCGGGAGCCGTTGTTGTTGTAACCCGGGGGCCAGGGGCCCAATTTGAGCAGGAAGACTTTCCCTGTCAAAAAACAGGGTGCGAGCGTCGAGGGGCACACTTTGATTGAGAAAAAGCAATATGCACCGGTGGGGGGATCAACAATACTTATTCTGCAAAAATGAGAATTCAACAACAACAACAACAACAACAACAACAACAACAACAACAACAACAACAACAACAACCAGCACCGTGGACTCCAACTTCAGCCGCGCACCCAGGGACAGTGAATGACCGTTCGGTCCCATCACATTGATATTGCACAACACATAGACTCTCCTTTCTAAGGAAAAGATGGAATATCATCCACCCCCCCATTTGGACTTAACGATTCACGTTTTCGTATTGAAATTTACATATGATTCTGACCCAATGTCCGGGCTACGTGTGAACTCATACTACCCCAGCTAGGCCAGTATCGCCCCCCCTTTTTTTGCAAAAAAACTATGCGCGCACACCCGATTATCAAAAATCCAAAAAAAAAAAAAAACTTGAGAAAATAGACGGCCTGCACACACGTGCGTCGTCGCGCGCGCATGCCGAAATCCATTCTAAAAACCTTCGGCTTCGGACGGCTTCAAAAACGAATGCCCAAAAACATATGAAAACACAGGGAGTCGCAACGCGGATGACCACAAAAAACGCGCGCGCGCTCTTCCGAAGTCTTGACAAAACCATCGGTTGATCAACATGTTCAGAACATACTCTCAAACTGGTTTCGCGCGCGCATGTCGAAATCGTTCGATCGCCCTTGCGCGCGTGCCGTCGCGAAAACTCGTTTGCCAAAAAAACGGGACGAAGTGCACACGCGCGCGTCGTCGCGCGCGCATGCCGAAATCTTGTTTAAAAACCTTCGGTTTCGGACGGGTGTCAAAATCGAATGCCCCAAAAACAAATGAAAACACAGGGAGTCGCAACGCGGATGTCCACAAAAAACGCGCGCGCGCTCTCTTCCGAAGTCTTGAGAAAACCATCGGTTGATCAACATGTTCAGAACATACTCTCAAACTGGCTTCGCGCGCGCATGTCGAAATCGTTCGATCGCCCTTGCGCGCGTGCCGTCGCGAAGACCCGTTTGCCAAAAAAACGGGACGAAGTGCACACGCGCGCGCCGTCGCGCGCGCTTGCCGAAATCCTTCAAACACCTTCGGTGTCGCAGCGGTTTCAAAACCGATTGACCAACAAAACAGCTTCTTAAAAAAAAGGCTTCGCAAAATCAGATCAGTGGTGAAAAAATCTTAAGACATCCATGTTTTCAACATGCCCATGGAATTCTGCCAAACGGGCCTCTCGCGCCGCATGCCTCCATCATTCGCACGCCCTTGCGCGCGTGCTGGGGGGGAGGGCGATCTGTGTCAAATGACACCACGCGGGCCACTCTCGCGCGTCGGCCGCGCGCGCATGCCGAACTCGTTCCAAAACGTTCATCGCCGACGCAAGGGCGCCGTCATCGTCGTCGGCGTCATCAGCATCAGCGCCGTCAGTGGCCGTGGTCGTCGCTGTCAGCATCGTCGACAACAGCGTTACTATCATAACCGAGTGTACCGTTGTCGACGTTGCCATGATACCGCGCCCGCCCGAGTCGCCAATTCGCACTGAAGTGCCCGCTGGGATGTGCCCAGCGGTCAGCGCCACCGCGGCTGCGTCAGTCGCGCCAAAAAGCATGCGCGCGCGTGCATGCGCAGGCTGTCGCGGCCGCAGGGATGCACCAACCAGCGCCAAGCATTCACCGCAATCGCCGCCGCACGGGGTTTGCAAACCAAGATGCGGGTGGGTAGGTGGGATGTTTTGCGCGAGCAGTGGAGTGGACAACTTCAAGCCGAGCATTGATGAATTCTCTTTTCTAAAACGAGTAGACTCTACCCCCCCCCGGACTTAACGTTTGCCCCTGGGATCGTATAACTTCATATATATATATATATATATATATATATACATATATATATATATATACATATATATTCTGCACACTCGTCCATGCGAACTATGAAATCATATCATCCCAGCCAAACCGGTCTCCCCCTGAGGTTCCCTTGTAAAAAAAACACTATGCGGTGACATGTTTTGCTCTTACATAAGACTTGTTCACGAATCCCTTGCAAAAAAAAAAAAAAAAAAAAACGGGACGAAGTACACACGCGCGCGTCGTCGCGCGCGCATGCCGAAATCCTTCAAAAACCTTCGGTACCGGAAGGATTTCGCAATCGAGTTTCAAAAAAACATACAAAAACACAGGGTTTCGCAACACTGATTTGCTAAAAAAGCTTCCGCGCGAGCTTTTGCGAAATATTAAGAAAAACCAGTGGTTTTTCAAAGATTGTCACAAAATGCTACCAAACGGGCTTCGCGCGCGCGCGCATGTCGAAATCTGTCGAACGCCCTTGCGCGTGTGCCGTCGCGAGAATCCTCTGCAAAAGACTGGACGAAGTGCAGACGCGCGCGTCGTCGCGGGCGTATGCCGAAAACCTTCAAAACCCATCGGTTTCGGAAGGATTTCAAAATCGTGCGTCCAAAAAACATACAAAAACAAGGGTTTCGCAACATGGATGTTCAACAAAAGCGTGCGCGCGCGCTCTTGCGTCGTCGTCGTCGTCGTCGTCGCCGTCCTCCCTCCTCCCGCGTCGTCGTCGTCGTCGCCTACGTCGTCCTGTCTTTTCTCGTGTTCGTCGTCGTCGTCCTCTTTGGCGTCGTGGTCGTTTCCGTCGTCGTTGTCGCCGTGGTCGTCCTTCCTCCTCCTCCCACGTCGTCGTCGTCGTCCGTCGTCGGCGTCTCGTCGTCGTCCCTCCTATTTCGTCGCCGTCGTCGTCGTCGTCGTTGTCGTCGTCGTCGTCTTCCCTCCTCCCTCGTCGTTGTCGTCGTCGGCGTCGCCGTCCTTCCTCCTTCGTCGTCGTTCGCGTCGTCGCCGTCCTCCCTCCTCCCTCGTCGTTGTCGTCGTCGTTGTCGTCGTTGTCACCGTCGTCGTCCTTCCTCCTCCCTCGTCGTCGCCTTCGTTGGCGTCGTCGTCGTCTTCGTCGTCGTCGGCGTCGGCGTCGTTATCGTCGTCGAAGCCGTCGGAGACGTCGTCGGTGTCGTCCTAGTCGTTGTCGTCGGTGTCGTCGTAGTCGGTCTGAAGAGGTTTTGCAAACCAAGCTGCGGGTGGGTGGGTGGGATGTTTGCGCGAGCAGTGGAGAGGAAAGCTTCAAGACGGTCAAAGTGGACTGCACCACATAGGTTGCACCACGCCAGTTGCACCACATATACTGCGCACAACATAGAATACACTACAGAGTTCGCATCTGACAGAATCTACAGCATAGGCTGTCCAACATCTACTGCACCACCTATGCCACACCACGTAAACTGCACAACCGATATTGCCCCAAAAAGATGGCACTACATGTATTGCACGGCATGTACTGCAACACCTAGATTAAACACCTAGTGCACCACGTAGATCGCACCACATGTATTAATCCGCCTGGGGTGCACAACAAATACTGCTAGGAACAGACTGTTTGGGGTGCACGATGGCTGACATTGCATATTCTGCGTTTGCGGCTCGCGGTGCCCATCTGTCAGGGGAACCCCTCGCCGCCCTCTGCTCGACCAGCTCCAGCATCAGCGCGCTCTGCACGGCCTTCCAGGGGGGGGAGAAGGAGGAGGAGGAAGAGGAAGAGGACGAGGAGGAGGAGGAGGAGGAGGAGGAGGAGGAGGAGAGCAGGGGGGGGAGGAGGAGGAGGAGGAGGAGGAGGAGGAGAGGAGGAGGAGGAGGAGGAGGAGGAGGAGAGAGCAGGGGGGGAGGAGGAGGTAGGAGGAGGAGGGAGGAGGAGGAGGCGGAGGCGGAGGCGGAGGCGGAGGAGGCGGAGGAGGAGGGCAGGGGAGGCACGAGAGAGGCGGAGGCGGGCTCGTCGCGGCTCTGCTTCAGGGGCAGCCTGTGAAGGCTCAGGGGCGACCTTTGCACCACCCTGTCCTGCCAGCACCCCAAACTACTTCTCGCCCTCCTCCGAGGAGGGGAGGGGAGTGGGGAGGAAGAAGGGAGGGGGAGGGGGGGGAAGGGAGGAGAGGACAGAGAGTTGCAGGAGGGAGGGGACAGGAGACCCTGGGGACACGGCAGAACACCAGAACGACACCTTGAACACGTGCGTCGGCGTCGCGGCCGTGGTCGAGGACCGAAGTTGCCTCAGAAAGGCGTGAACTCCAAGGACTCGCCCCCTCCGCTGGGGCAGAAAATGCACCCTCCGAAATGGTAAAAGTCTCAGCGGCCACGATCGCCGTGCCCAGGCCCGCGGCAACTGCTGGAAATCGAGCCTGGGCGCGGAGGGCCGGCTCCCGCCTGGTCGGGGAGGGCACTCCTCGGCCACCCAGCATCTGCCCCATGAGAGGTCCGCACAGATCTGCACCAGGCCCGCCCACGATGGGCCCATTGTCCACCACCGCTACCTAGGCAGGAGGAGGAGGAGGAGGTCTCCCCCGTCCTACATATGGAAGCGGTGGTGTAAGAATTGCCCATCACTGAGGATGACACTCCTAAGCCGATCCAGCAGCGTCTGCCCCGTCCATGCCGGCCCGTCCATGGCCGGAGGACGGGGCTGCCACCGCTCCTCTACTGCTGGTAAGCACGGGGCCTCGGCTCAGGCCTGCCTTGGACCCCGAAGCGGAATCAGTGCCACACTCGTGTCAGGGCGAGGGCGAAACGAGATCCTCCTCCTCCTCCTCCTCCTCCTCCTCCTCCTCCACAACGCTCTCCTCCTGTCTGACGCATCGAATTGCAAGTGTTGCATTGCCGCGCATATCGGCTTCCGTGCTTGGACACGTAGGGAGTAGCTAGGAAACAAAAGCATGAGGTAGCCAGTGGTCGCAATCAAACTGTTGCGAAACGGCTGTGAGACTGGCCAGTATCTATGATGCAGGCGCAGCTGTCGATGTCCGTGGACACGATTACACAATTCGGAAGCACTGTTGATAGCGTCCGCGGCGACGTTCGCGGCCGCTGCAACGCACGCTACTACCCGTGTCGAGGTGCGTCGGCTGCGATGTTCCCCACTGCTTGCCTTTCCAGCCGACTGCGGCATCGTGGGCATCCTGGCGTTGGTGTTCGATTGCACGCACACGCATGTGCGTGAGGGTGAGACTGGGAAGATGTGCTGCTCTATGCCGTGGGCTGCGCGCAGGTGCAACCGCCAAGCAGCAGCCACGGCAGCAGGCCATATAGTGGGTCAACAGCGGCACAGGCAGAAGAGGAAAAAACGGTATAAAAAATAAACTTTTGGCGCTCCGCGCGGATTTCTTGGATCTGCGCTGAAGCCCCATGCGGCGCCTGAGGCGCCGCCGGGGGGCGGTTTGGAAGCAACTGCTGGGAGGTCTTCGTCGGAAAGATTAAAAAGGATTAAGCCCCATTGCGGGGCTGTCACGCCAGAATGGGCTTCGGATTAAGCGGGATTAAACCGGATTCAGCGAAATTAATCGGGATTGATTAAGCGGGATTCAGCGGGACTAAACCGGATTAAGCCGGACTAAGCCGGATTTCGGACCAGGGCAGAATCAGAATTTGACCTCCCAGGAGTTGCATCCGAAGGGGGGGGGCAGCGCGGATCCGAGAAACCCGCGCGGAGCGCATAAAGTTTACGTTTTTATGGCGTTTTCTTCTCCGAGCAGGGCAGGCGCTGCACGGCAAGGTGGCGGCGGCGTGCCGAAAGGGGGAAAAGTGCGCGAGGGGGCAGGCCTTCGAAAGAGCCCTGGGACACACAGATAATTACACGCACAAGTAACGGGATTCCCCTTATTTCCCCATAATTCCTGGGTTTTTAGAAGCCTCCTAGATGGGGTCGGAGTAGATGGGGTCGAAGGATCGCGCCGCATCGGCGATACATCGGCGATTCATCGGCGATGCATCGGCGATGCACTGGCGATGCATCGTCGACGTCGGAAATGCATTGGCGACATCGACCTCAAGCAAATCGGGCCCTACATCGAGCCGCATCGGCGATGCATCGGCGATGTGGCGCGATCCTCCGACCCCACCTACTCCGACCCCACCTAGGAGGCCTAGAGTTTTCGTCTTGCCCCTCACTTCCAATATCTCCCCATATTTTCTGGGGCATCGACGATTCATGGTGTCTGCGTGGATTTTTCCCTCCTGAGAGCCTCCTCGCCGGGCGGCGTGGCCCCGGGCGCGCGCGCGAAGGGGCTGGCCTTCGAAGGGGCCCTGGGGCACACACAAACAAACACGCACAAATGAACGGGGCTCCCCTCGTTGGCCCAGCAGCTCCTGGGCTCTCGTCTTGCCCCCCATCTCTTCCCCTTGTCTTCCCATATCCTCTCTGGCGCTTCGACGATCCCTGGCGTCTCTTTGTCTCTGTTTCCCTCCCGAGAGCCTGCTCGCAGGCGCCGGCGTGGCCTCGGACGGGGCTCCGGCGGGCCCCCCTCGGAGGCCAGAGGCCCTCCGGAGCCTCCCGGCCGGGCCCGCCCCCGTCGGCCCTTCCCCCCCCACGGGTTAGGTCGGGCGCGCCCCCCCTGCAGGCGGATTTTGGACGAGAAATGAGAGATACCCCGAAAATGCTCAAGAGTAGCCAAAAACGGGGGGGAATTCGTCCCCAGACCATTTTCTGACTATTTTTTTTAGTTTTCCTCATGTAGAAGGACACGCCCGACTTAACCCAAGGGGCGAGCCACCGAAAGGAGGGCAGGAAGAGGAGGAGGAGGAGGAGGAGGAGGAGGAGGAGGAGGAGGAGGAGTCACACTCACTAAATGAGGGGAGGCAAGCGGGCACGGCGCGAGCAAGGGAAAAGAGACGAGGGCAGGCGGACACGAAGCGAAGGGGAGAGAAAACACCTGGTCTTGTCCAGCACCCCACATGCTGCTGACACTGCTACACATCTTAAACATATTCACTTCTCAACAAACGCCCTGCATTACTGAACAAAGGATGCAAACTACTTGCGCGGGTCTCCACCATCTGCTTGATGGAGAGATCGCACCCTTTTCCCAACACGAGGCGAGTTAACTACACTACACACGATTCCACTTGCAAGCCCAACACTGCACTGGCCCTGGAACTATCATCAAAAAGCGGAGAGGGGGGGGCGGGGGGGAAAACAAAAAAAAAAAAAATGCGAACTGCTCCGGAAAATCACCCCTGCCCCAGGAGCCAGGAAGAAGAGGGAGAGGCCCTCACAGCATCCAAGAGAAGAGGACGTTGAAGGTAGGGCTCCAGGGCATCCCCTCCCATCGCCATGCACCCCCAAGACATACTTGAATCCCCACTCGATACCTGCGAGAGGTGTTCCACGCATTGCACCAAGTTTTCATCACCACGGTGAGGACAAATGGAGGCAAGCACGCACCTATGACCCTCAAGCGAATGAGCGACAAAAACACCTGGGCATCGGTGATCCCGCTGCTCCACTTGGCGAACCTCGGGGCGATCAGGTCGCCCACAGACGCGGGCGGGTTCGCGGCAAGGAGGGCCTGCCGCGCAAGGGCCTGCAGGTTGTGAACGTCTGGGTTCCTAGGGGCCCGCGGGGTACTCTCGACAGGTGTCCATGAGATATTTGAGTATCGATGATGTGTATAATGGGTGGTACTCGTACGTCAGAATGTGATCGCCGCCGTCCAGAACCTCCTCTAACTCCTCCCTCCAATACAGAAAGGCAGAACTACGTTTGGCCGTCCTGCATGCTGCGCCCCCCCCCATATCAAATGTTGTTGCACTGCCTGCCGCGCCCCACATCGGCGAGCTGATACATCAAGGCAGGAGGGCACGCATTAAATGGTCCAGCTGTCAGAAGTTGCGTCGCCACTCGCTGAGCCTCGAGCACAGCAGGAATGATGGGCCGAACCTGCGAGACAAAGTTAAGGACGGGGGAGGCGAAAGTGTTGCAGGCGAGGATGTTGAGGGAGAACGAGAACGCCATGGAGCGGATTTGCCGTGCCCTCTTTTTGAGGCTGTGGACGGGTCCTCCCCAACACTTTTCCGTGGCCCCAAATCCCAACATAGCCCCAAGATACCGAGCATCCCGAACAAGTTTGGATTTGCGAACCCGAAGCCCCCGCCGTTGGAATTCAGCCCGAATCCAGTCAAAACAAAGCCCATTAGAGAACGCCAGGTAGGATTTCTCGGGGTGGATCAACAGCCCAGTCACGACAGCAAGATACATCAAGTCCCGAACCAGCCGAGGAGGAGCGTTGAACCGATTCGCAGACACACGGGCCACGTCATCCGCAAACCCATATAGCGAGCTTCTCGGGGGCGCTGGCATTCGGTGGGCCAGATGACGCAGCACCGGGTCAACCACTAGAACGTAAAGCACCCCACTAAGTGGGCATCCTTGCTTGATCCCTCGGAGGATCTCGAAGCATCTACGCGAGCAGCCCCGAAAATTAATGTGGGCCCGGACATTCCTATAGAGCTGGCGGATGGCGCGCAGGATCCCCCGCGGGAGCCCCATCTTCTCAAGACGATTGAAAATGAAGCAGTGGGCGAGGGAAGGAAATTCTGCTACGACGCCGGAGAACGCCGCGCCAGCACGTTCCTGGTTCCCCAGGCCCATCCACAACATAATTTGTGACTCTATCGAGATGACGTGGTCCATCATATTACGACCGATCAAAAAGATGCTCTGGATTCGGTCAACCGCGATGTTGGCCGAGTGAGCAACAGGGGCAGCTCGCACAGGATATCAATTTGTTATCTGCGTTCGACAGCGCTAATGGTCGGGTTTTCCCTGTTGTCCGATATCGCCCGCAGTCGTCGTCTCGTTCGTCGTCGCGTTTGGGCAAGAACACCGCCAACGCGCAATTGACATCGTCGCCAACTTCCCCACCACCCAAGATGAACAAATAAAGCTGAAAACAGGATCTCCACGACACCCTCGCCCTCGCTCTTCCACGCATTATAAGGAACACCGTCGGCCCCAGGAGCCGAATCATGTTTCTTCCGAACAAGGTCATAGAACTGGCCCCTGGAAAGCTTCCAAATCGTCGTCTCGGCAACAGGTTTGATGAAGGCATCGAGCTCATGAGAGCACCCAGGCGCCGATGGCCACGGTTTCCCAACGCCCCCCCCCCCCCCCCCCCCCCCCCCAGTGGTCAGCAAGCGCTCGAGCGCACTCTTCAGGACTGACTAGTGCGCCACCGCCCCCCTGTCGAACGCGTCGAAGAAATATCCGACGATGACTTGGTGCCCGCGCAGCCGCAAGCTCGCAAATCCGCGCCAGCTGACGCCCCCCCCCCCCCCCCCCCCCTCGCCTCCGAGACCCCCTCCTCCCCCCCCCCCCCCCCCCCCCCTCCTGATCGTCAAACTGGGCGCGCATCAGCCGGCTGAGAAACTTGTTAAAAACGGGGAAGTCGCACCAGCAGTCAAGCTAATTGTCGCAAAACTCGGCGAGTCGAGGAAAAGCGCGGCAGGCTCTTTGCACGACAGCCTCCTGAGCACGACGGCGCCCTCGCACGAGAGCAAGACTCCAGGCCACCTGTTCGGGAGTGCCCCTCGGGCCCCGTTTCTCCATGATCGTTTTGGTCCTTTTGGCTGCAACATGCACGAGGCCCCTGACAAGTCCCACGGCTTCCACAGGGCCCCTCGGGAAATCGTGCTCCTCGACCAGTCCGCGGAAAGACTCCCAGAACTCAACAGAACGTGCAACCCACCGAGGGATAGCAGCCCTTGCAGGCGGCGGGGTGGGGCACAGCGCAACAAAAAACAGAAACGTGATCACTATAGCTGCCAGGTTGGAGAACATCCGAGTAAGTTCCAGAGACAGGACTGCAATCCAGGAGGTCACAAGTAGGAGAAAAGAGTAAGGTACCCCCTGTGCGTCTGCTTGATATGACTGGTGCGTGTATCGAGGTTGCTCGATTTCGGCGAGAAACTGGAAAACGAGTTCGAAGTGCCTCCCCAAAAAATCAGAGCCCATTTCCTGCAACGAATCGGCGAGCCTCATTCGGCCCTCTCCAACGGCAGCAAACTTAGAGTCGCCTGCAAAGAATGTCGCGACCAGGTGCGAAGGGGAGATGTGGGAGGAGATGATGTTGAGTAGGTCCTTAGCCTTGGCGTGTGAGTAGGAGGGGTCGAGATGGAAATTGAAGATGTGGAGCGTGCCCACGTCGCCCGAAAGAACTAAACGAGAAAGACGGCCTGGATCAGCAGGCTCCCCCGCCTGGCAAAGCAGCTCGTCAAAATCATGATTCAACATGTCGATAGAGCCGTTCGTGCACCATCGTCACCACCCCTCCAGCAGAGGTTCGGTCAGTGAAGGGGCCCACATCTTCCACTCATGATACACTTTCTGAAATTGTTCTAAGTCCCCAAGATGCCCATGACATTCCTGGATAATGATAATATCAAAACTGTTGGCCGACCTCCGGATAGCTTCGTGAATCCCACGAATATTCTGCCGAGACATCCAGACCGATCCGGACAGCGTGTGCGCGTTCCATGACACCAGGCGAAGAAGCCCCTGTAGTGGAAGGAAGGAAGTGGAGGTGGAGTCCCTAGAGGCTCTACTGGGGGGCTCCCTGTACAGATGGGGTGCTGTACGGAAACGTGGCTCACTTGACTCATCCGCAGGCGCCTCCTGCGCTGTTTGTCACAGCGAAAGCGAGTCGATCAGGTCGGTGATGCTCTTCTCGCCCACGTTGAATGCGGCAAAGCTCTCGAGCACTGGCGAGAACGTAAATCCGAATTCCTCACCCCCCGTGATGGTCACGGTTTCCGTAGACCTCGTCACTCGAAGTGATCAGGCCCTGGTACCCGCTCACCCCTAAACGAAAGCCCGTCAGGTCCTTTCCGCCGTTCCTGCCGCTCGCTGCCGCTGGCGCACGTCGATCGGCATGTCCCCGCGAGAGTAAACTTTGTGAGTCCTGCCGCCCCGAGAATCGGTCCACGACAGGTCGTGATCGCGCAGGAGGTTGCTGAACTCCCTGGCCTGAAGGTCATTGGAGAAGGTGAAACTGTAGCTTCTCCCGACGCGCGAGAAGGTGATGGTCATGGCGTCACGAATGTGCTGCGGCAACTTGGGCTCTACTACCTGCTCGTAGTCTTCTCGGCGCTGCTTCTCGGTGAGGCTCCGCGGGAAGGTCCCCATCCAGCGTTTCATCCGATTGGCGTCTTCATCATCTGGGCCCCCACCAACTCTGCGATGCTTGTGCGATGTCGCCCCACTCGCAGTGCTCGCCCCTGATGAAATAGATGCTGCGGCGGCCACGTACGACGCTGGCTGTGCTTGCTTGGCCCGCAGCTCCGAAATCTCGTTCTGCTGGGCGGCCACAACTTCGGAGAGCTTGCTCACGTTGTCAGCAAGTCCCGCGATCTGCGACTGCTGGTCTGCCAGGATTTTCCTCACTTCGCTGGCTAGCTCAGTCATCTTCTCGTTCATACTGGGCTGGAATGTGGCGAAGAGCTGGCTAAATTCGGCCATGGCGAGACTGGGGCCCGTCGGGGAGCCCTCCCCCGTGCAAGAAAGTGAATAGGTGTCCGCCTGGGCACGACACCCAGGTTGCCCTCAGCAGGAAGAGGAGGAGGAGGAGGAGGAGGAAGAGGAGGAGGGGGGGAGGGGGAGATGGCAGGGACGAGGATGATGAATGAGGAGGAGAATGAGGAGGAGGAGGAGGAGGAGGAGGAGGAGGAGGGTGAGGGCAGAGAGAGCCAGGCGAGGAAAACGAAGAGAAGGTGAGAATGCTGGACAAGTGCCTCCAATATGATACCCAGCGGGAGGGCGAACAGCATCATGCCCACCAGGCAGCAGAGGATGCAGAGCACCGCGCTCGGCCTGGAGAAATCCACCAGGGACCACCTGGGCACTCTCTCTTGAGGGGATGTCGGCAAAACTTTGAGGGCCTCCCCATCCGCCTTCGGTACAGTCATCGTTCTACCTACCAGAAAGCTGAATCAGAAATGAAAGGGCAGTTCTGGCCACGGCAAGCCTCGGCAACGACCAGGCTCCCCGACATCGATCTGAGGAACGGCCCAAAAAAACAGAGCCCCTCCCGAGCCCAGAATGGTCCTTACGATGGCATCTTGACTGTATCTTTGCTCCTGCACTACCTCCCTCTGCTCCAGCTGCAATGACGGCACGCCGTAATGACTGCCCCCTCCCTTCACCCCCTTCCCCATCATCCCCCTTGCCCCATTGCATTCCCACTCCAGTGCTGAGCCAAGCATAAAAACAAGAGCACTCGTCGTTTTCAGGCTGCTCGCTCTCCGTTGCCCGCGAGCCATTCGACATGTATACCCCAAGACCTCGACTCCTGCTCTCTTCGTTTATGAACGTACCTCATTTGGGGGGGCGGGGTCCATGCCAGCTCCTGCGAAAAACCCTGGAATGGTAGGACGGGCGGCTCGGGCGGCGAACCCTGCCAGGAGACCCGAACGGGCGGGTCTGGCGGGCCGGGGCGTGCGGAGCTTCACGGGCGGGTCACACGGCGTGGGCGTGCGGGACCTTCAAGCGGGCGGCGGGACATGAAAGCAAGCGGGCGGGTTCCAAGCAATCGACTCGGCGGGCCCCAGCGGGCGACGCCGGGCGGGCGGACCCTGACGGGCAAACCGGGCACGCAGGCGCACTGCGACGGGCGGATCGGGCGGGCGGACCCCACTGGGCGTGTCCGGCGGGCGGGGCACGAGAGCGCGGCTCTTTCTATCAGCATTTCTGAGGCGACAGCACGATGTCTGAGCGCCGAAGGCGCGATTCCCGGACGAATTTCGGGCAAGTCTGACACGAGAGCGGGATTCGGGGAGGGGTTCATCACTACTCCTAATGAACATGCAACCCTTCCCCCATCTAACCAGAGGCGACCTCGGCACCATGAAAACACCACCACCACACCGTCCACGTCCTAAAAAATCAAAGTGCAGTGCACGTTGCGGCAAAATCTGGATCGTGCACGGGCACCCAACGAACACGTTGCATTGTCATTTGACAGGGATGATCGGGGTGCCCTGGCACGCGCGGCGCACCTCGCGGGATCGCGCACCTGGCTAGCGTCTGCATTGGTCCACCTGATGATGGTCGATGGCGGCCCCTGTCCACGCTGAGACTCTAGTGCTACGTAGTTGATGGGAGGTCAGGTGGGAGTGAGCGAGACGGCCGTCCACCGGGGAGGGTAGATTGACCCCTCCCCCTATCCCCTCCCCCTGGGTCTGAACTCCAAGATGCGCAAGATGGCCCCAAGTGGGGTTAAGATGGCCGAGAGGGCGCGTTTCACGGGCGCTTGCCCTGGGAACATTCGGCGGCGCGTTTCAAACCGGGGGGCGGGCCCCCCCCCCACACTCGGCGCCGTCGATGAGAACCAGGAGACTTCCCTCCCCCTAACCCCCCCCCCCCGACCCCCCCCCCCCTTGGCGCCGGCGCCGGCGCCGGCAGCCGCCAGCAGCGCCGACGGCGGGGACGCAGCGACGATGACCAGAGGCAGCCCAGGGGGGGGGTGGTCCAACCCCCCCCCCGCGCCGGTGCCGGCGCCCGCGCTGGCGACGGGCAGCAGCGCCGACGGCGGGGACGCAGCGACGATTACTATACAGGGCCCAGAAGCCGTAGAGGGAACACACAAATCGCCATATCGAGCCCTCGCCTTCCAGAAGCCACCGAGAGGCCCTTAGGAAGGTCCACGAGGCTTCACGCATGCTCCTCAGACGCCCCCGAGAGCCCTGTGACGAGATCTCAAGAGGCATCCATTATAACTCTGACCCAAAGCCAAAACACGGTGGCGGGAGGAGCCGAAGGCTACACTACCACCAACCGCCACCACAAACCACAACACCACCACCACCACCACAACCACCACCACCACAACCACCACAACCACCACAACCTACCACCACCACAACCACCACCATCACCACAAACCACTACACAACCACCACCAGAAACGCCACCACCACCACACCACCACAACCCACCACAACCACCACCACCACCACCACCATCAAAAACCACCACGCCATTACCAGCATCATCACCACCGCCGCCACCACCACAACCATCACCACCACCCACCACCACCACCACAAACCACCACACCACCACCACCACAACCACCACTAGTACCACCACCGCCACCCACCGCCCACCACCCACCACCCACCACCACCACCAGCACCGCTACCAGCAGCAGCACCACCACCACAAACCACCACGCCACCACCACCACCGCTACCACCAATACGCCACCACCACCACCACCACCTCAACCCACCACCACCGCCACCAAACCACCACATAACCACCACCGCCACAGCCACCACCACTACCACCACCGCCGGCGCTGGCGGCGGCCAGCAGCGCCGACGGCGGGGACGCACCGACGATTACCACCACTACCACCACCACCACAACCCACCACCACCACCACATTCTACCACACCACCACGCCACCACCACCACAACCACCACCACCACCTCAACCCACCACACCACAACAACCACAAACCACCACACCACCACCACCACCGCCACCACCACCACCACCTCCACAAACCACCGCCACACCACCACCAAACCACCACCACGACCACGACCACCACCACCAACCACCACCACAACCACTATCACCACAACAAACCACCACACCACCACCACAACCACAGCCACCGCCACCACCACCATCACAACCCACCACCACCACAAACCACCACCACCACCACCACGACCACCACCACCACCAGCACCACCCACCACCACAACCACCACCACCACCACAACCACCACAACCACCACCACCGCCACCACCACCACCACAACCATTACCACCACCACAACCACCACGACAAACCATAACACCATCACCACACAACCACCACCACCACCTTAACCCACCACAACCACCACCACCACCACCACCACCACCACCACCACCACTTCCACCGTACCACCACCACCACCACCACAACCTACCACCACAACCACCACAACAACCACCACCACTACCACCACAACCAATCACCTCACCTCACCACCACCACCACCACCACCGCCACCCTCAGAGAGTCCCCAAGAGATGCTCAAGAGGCGCCAAAAAGGCTTCACAAGTGCCCTTCAGAAGCCCAAGCGCCCTCCGAGAAGACCTCAAGAAACATTCATGTGGACTCTGACCCAAAACCAAGGCACGGTGGCGGAGCGTCGTCGTCGTCGCCGTTGTCCTCGACGCTCCCCGACGCCGCCGCCCGCCGCCGCAGGCGCTCGTGCCGGCCCAGAAACGGAAGTCGTCGCCCACGCCGCCGCGGCCAACCGCCGCCGACGCAAGCGCTGGCCCGAGGAAAGGGAGAGAGGAAAAGTAATGGAGGGAGGGGGGGGGTTTTGAACCCCCCCCTCCGTCTCGGGAACGGGGGGGGGAGGGGGGTTCGAACCCCCCCCCTCCATGCAGGGGGGGGAAGGGGGGGTCCGGTTCCAAACACCCCCCCTTCCCCTCCAAGCGACCACAGAACGCGCTCTTTCAAATCCGCCGATCCGGCGTGTGAGTTGAAGAAGTTTGAAGGGGGCTGGAAGGCCCAGCCAACAGCTTCGCCTCAGGCGAAGCCAAGCTCCCGCTCTGCCTTACCGTAGTAACGATAGTCCCAGTATGAGAGGAGATGCCATGTCAAGCAGTAGGAAGATCCTTTTGGTCTCGATGGCGATTGTGTGCCTCGCAATGAGGCGCAGTCATATTTGGGCGGCCGGCCGCTTGAGCCGAATCGGCCGCGGGCGCACGCTCGCCCCCACTCTTTACGTCCCTCAACTCGCTTTAAGAGTCGGGGGGGGGAGGGAGACGAAGCGTGAGCCCGTCGCCCCTACACAGCAGGCATAGCAGCTAACATACAGAAGGACAGAAAAGGAAGCGGGCCTAAAGGAAGGTGGACCCGCTAGCAAGCTGCCTGGCATGTACGTGACGCACTCATCAGGCGGCGTCAGAACTCGATGTCTGGCCGGCCCGATATGGAGTATGTCTCTTCCGGTCATGTTCGAAGGTCTGTATACCTCCCACGACTTGTAGGAGTATTTCTCTGTCGATGCCCCCCTTGGTGTGGCCATCCGCAGTCATATCGCGGGTGCCACACCACTGAATGCTATGCACGATTCCACGCTCCATCATCTGTCACATCCAACTGATGTGTCCAAATAGGGTCCCCTCAACCGGTTTCTTCAAGTCTTTGCTCGACAAGGACTTGAAAACATTCTCTGCAACGATGTTCAAAATGACCTTGATGCTCAGGCCACCCAACTCCAGTAGATCTTTCAACTGAGAGGGCGCGACCGGCCCTGCGTGGAGCTTGTGCAGAGTCACAATCGTGGGATAACAGTCCTCCAAATTATGGGCTGCTGCTAACGTCTCTGCTGAATAGCTCGAGCGGACCTGCAAACGGTGAGACTTGCAGCGCGCATCGATCAAGTGGACGACAAGCTTACCGGATGAAGCGTTTCCACGTCTTAGCAGGTTTGCCCCGCGAATACCATAGCCCTCGACGTCGTCATCGGAGTCTCCACTCAGCCGTCGGTATCCTGAGTCGCCATGCAGGTCGACCTCGCCCGTAGGATTCATCGCCTAGTAGACGCTCTTCCTCGGGCAGGCCTGTAGCTCCGCGGTGATCGCGCTCAGTCGTCGCACTTGAAAGTTGGTCGTTTCTTGGACGCGCTGTAGAGATACAACATACACCATCAACCACACATGGGTGATTACTGCATGCGCCAGCGCACCCCTGCGGCTGAGCAACATGTCTAGAACCGTCTAGGTTGCCTGAGCGTCAGCGTCGGCGCCGGTCAGTTCGCGATGTTGTATAGGACGGAGCTGTTTGATATATTCATATTGATCCAAAGTGGCATTGCCG